TCTATATCACTAAAACTCCTGCTCTAAAGCTCCTCCTCTCCTCAGTCTCCATACCGAATTTCATATAAACCGGTCCAGCGATTATTGATGATACAAACTTCCACCCCTAAAGGGTGACTTCTGGGATGAAAATTTTGTCTTTTTCCGGGACTTAAACTATCTCTAGTCTAAATTTTATCTAAATCGGTTCAGCGGTTTAAGCGTGAAGAAGTAACACACTCTCAGTCACAGTCAACACTCTTACGCATTTATAATATTAGCATGGATTGACAATTACAGAACTTTTCGCATGTTGCTAATTTTATACACATCCCTCCAAAACTCTCATAATACTATGAACATTATTAAGTTGCAATATTCTATATGGTATGGTTTAAATATATAGTTTTATCTTATCACGACATCAAAAGACCTAAATACCAAGACAATATTAATTAATTTCGTACTTGTGTAACTTTTACAGGTCAATAGTTGTTTGATAAACTTGTTACGATAGTTTCATAACTACAATACTTCGGGTAAGGGGACTTATAAAAATTCTTGACACACACACAACCTTCCTTACTTCGGAATAAATCATAGCTAACGGGAAGCAATTCTTTTTTATTTTTACCACAAACATGTATCATGTTTATCTGGATCGTGTTTTGAAGGTTCTCTCTTGAAACAATGTTTTATGGTTTCAGTCTTCATATCCTTGTTGTATGAATCGTTGAATATCGATTTTTTATCCTTACTTGTAATACGAAGCTGACGAGAGGTTTATTTTTACGTGATTTGTAACATGAGCTTCATATGATGAATTCTCTGACGCACAGTGGCCGGCTTTATGCAGTGATCGTGATGACCAACTAGTAAAAAAAATGGTAACAATGGTATAAGTTTTAATGTCAAATTTCAATAGAGTGGTTATGATAAATGATATTCCGTGTGACGACGGATTAAGAATACAAATTGTCACCACCCCAATTCATCCCGTGGGTGTCGTAAGAGCCGACTAAGGGAGCAAACTAAGTAGGACAACAGCACTGCAAAGAGAAGGAAAACTTGAAACAAACCCTATACCAACCCGTCTGGCCAGCGTGGTATAGTAGGCCAAAACCTCCTTTGTGGACTAGTATAGGCTGTTGATGTGTGATTGATGTGATGTGATAAATTATACTTATTTCTGCAAGTTAATCTTTTCAGATAAATTTAAAAGTCGGATTTTATAGCTAGATGGAGCCTTTTGAAGAAATGGCCAAAGTTTTGAGTTGGCCTGTCAATAAAGACGTCATACCGGCCCCAGACATTATGTAGTTTAACCGATATTATTCTAGGTCAACCACCGCCAGCAGGACATTTGGGTAGGCCGTGGAAACACTCAAAACTACCAGAAAGTTACTAAATATAAACTAATATTGCGAGGCTACACTATACTTACATGTACAAAAAATATACTATACAATTCAGGTTCAACAAAAAAAAACAAATTGAGGACACAAAACAAACGAAATACGAAATACAACTATACATTAAATGTCCATCACTTTTAAACATAACAACAATGATAGGAACGTAAATGCCGGAGTGAGCATCATAAATCCAAGCAGTCTTCTAAAAAATCTGCAAGCCTTTTCTTTTATATTTTGCTATAAAATGACCACTGAAATATTAAAATAGTGTATATTATGATAATTATGTTACAGAATTGCCTGTTAAAATTATTACTGAGACAAATAAGCAGGAACATTAAAACCAAAATTTATTTTAATGAACTCTTAGAATTCTTACAGTTGTTCATAGTCTTAGCTTAAGGCTCGCGTTTTATACATTCCTACTCTAAATAAGAGAAAGATATTGTCAATCTACAAATCAGAGGCACTTAAAATTACAATTGTAGCTTTAGAATTATTACACAACAATCGACAAAATAATTGTAACATCTTGAATAACTGGTTAAATCTAAGCAATTTGCTGGAAGCCTCTGTCTGTAATTACTACCGGCTCTTAACGGAGAAGTCGGCGGCGCTAAATTAGAAATCTCCTTTCGATTCTTTGATGATAATTGTTGGTGTTCCACTGCCAAAATTCTTTGTAATTATATAAGTTTGTAAATTCTGAACAAAGTTTTTATTTATTCCGTAAATTTTGTTTTTTTTACGTCTCTTGCGAAACTGAAGATTATATTATGTCAATTTTCTAAATATGATTCCACAAGCCACAACCTTGAGTTTTACTTAAATGTTGAGCTGTATTTAATAAAAAAATTTAAACGGAATACTTTTTGGGAACATTTTGAACAAGCTGTACTGACTGTGGTCACAGGTTTAGTGGTGATATCTGAAATAAAAGTTTCAGATGAAAGAAAAGATTTTCAGACTAGAATTACAGTGGCCTCACTGTCGTAGTACATACCTCCGAAATACTAGATACTACAGAAAACTGCAAGGTGTTTCAGGGGGATTCTAGTGGGCACCAGGGACTTCCTTTCTAGGGTATACCTGGTTCCCCGGCTATTAGTACCCGAGACGGCGTGCGGTTTTAGTCGGTTCGAGTCCGACATGCCACCGACAGGTGATATCCGAAGGGATTTCCGCACGAAAAAAAAAAAGGGGGATTCTAGTGGGTTTAGTTTGACAAGTTAACAAGTAACAATAATTATGTTAAACGGGCTTTCTAACTATTTTTTTTTTTTTTTTTAAAGAAAAGACAACGCCCGCATTAGGAATAAATCCTGTGTCGCGGGGGACTTTACAAACATACATGAAACGGACACAAAGAACATCCAGACTCAGAACAACAATTTGTGGATCACACAAAGTGTCGTCCCATGTGGGGTTTGAACCCACAACACTCGGCGTAGTAGGAAGTGGCGTGGCGACCGCTTAAACCACTACGCCATCCGTGCAGTCGTTTGAATAATTTTAAACATAGTTTGTATCAAAACTGCAGTATTAAAACTTATTTGAAAACGGTCATGTTAAATCTTGTCAGAGGGTTTGGACTCGAATAGCCCGTTAAGAGTTCCAGGTATTTATGTATTTATTTACACGTCATGCACATTGGGTTAAGTGGCGGACTTAATGCCTAAGTCATTCTCTACCAGTCAACCACATTTACGTGTACGGAGGACCAAATTACGAGTAATTGGCAAATCGTGAAATGCGTGAATGCTTAATCGCCACTGCCTTCTCCCTTAAGATACAGATGTAAGCTTATGGGCGTAATTTAAGATAATGTCTTATTAACTAAGCAAAACAAACAAATCGGTCAACGAAGGAATTTATCTTTCTTTAAAACTTGCCATCCGCCTGAGAGAACCTTATTCAGTTCAGTTAGTGACCGTAACGTACTCTCGTCTAGACAATAAGATTCTTTACAAAGACTGAAATTAAATGCTTTGTCTTTTTTTATGTCTTAAGGACTTTTAACAAATAGAGGCTTTTATAAAACTCTTTATTTGCATTATTCACAATGAGAGTATTAATTTTAATTTTTCAAAGTAATGCAAATATAAATAAACTAATAAAAGACCAATTATGTAAACTATACCTTCCACCTGTTTTTGTCCATACCATGTTGAATACACCGGTTCTCGTCCAATCACCGAAGTTAAACAACACCGGGCGTGGTTAGTACTTGGATGGGTTACCGCCTGAGAATACCACGTGATATTGGCTTTTACAATACCCTACACCTAACAATATAGTTACCTTCTACTCTGATAATAATTGAGCCACTTTTATTGGCAGGTCCAATTTAGAATTTATTTAATTTGTGAAAAAGAAATAACTAGTTAGAAATACTGACAGTGATTTTAAAGCCTATCCAAGATAAAAGATGTTAGAAATCAAAAAGCTATTAATATTATCTTCAACCAGAAACATACGTACATACATCTTACTATAAGGAATAAAAAATAATGTATATTTAGAACTAATATCTTTTATACCTAAATAAAAAAGCCATTTAGTTTGAAATATTTCCTAATAAAAAGACTATGTACTTATTTCCGAGTTCATATATACTATACTGGAACACAAATCAACGAGAACTATTAGGGAAAATGTGTAAGTATTGATTTCCTCTACATCAAGTTTATGCTGAAGACATCGATTTTAAGATATTATGAAACTCTATTGGGGTTCTTAAGTTATGAATATTTCTAACTATTGCAATAAATGTTGTATTTAGGTTTCTAGGTTCTAAAAGTGGTTATTATGTTCAGGTATATAATTATGAGCGGGGGTCGTCTACTCGTCTGTAGATGACCCGAGGTATGTCGGGGCACCAGGGCCTTCCTTTCTAGGGTATACCTGGTTCCCCGGCTATTAGTACCCGGCGAAGGCGTGCGGTTTTAGTCGGTTCGGGTCCGACATGCCACCGACAGGTGGTATCCGAGGGGATTTCCGCACGGAAAAAAAAAAAAAAAAAAAAAAAAAAAAAAAAAAAAAAAGGTATATAATTATGAGAAACTGATAAAAAGGGATTTTCTTGACAAATTCAAAAGTTTGAACATTTCTGCCTTTGGAAGTCAAATATTCTCGTCAAAGCGTGATTTTAAATACCCTATATCTTTCCTCTTTAGAAAATGTGTTATCAAATGAAAAAAAATGTAATCTAAGGTTCTAGATATTCTAGAAAAAAAATTAACATAAAAATTATGGACATTAAAGTATGTTATTATTGTTACAGATATCTTTTTCAACATCACACTCAGAAGGAAAACACTATTCTACACCGTTAATCTTATCGTTCCATGTGTTGGAATCTCGTATCTCTCAGTCTTAGTATTTTATCTACCAGCTGATTCAGGAGAAAAGATCGCTTTAAGCATTTCCATTTTGCTATCTCAAACTATGTTTTTCTTGCTAATTTCGGAAATTATCCCATCTACGTCACTTGCGTTGCCATTGCTAGGCAAATACCTGCTATTCACTATGTTGTTAGTAGGATTATCTGTAGTCATCACTATAGTAATACTGAACGTACATTACCGCAAGCCAAGTACACACAAAATGGCACCCTGGGTAAGAACTTTCTTTATAACGAAGTTGCCAAAACTACTTTTGATGAGAGTGCCAAAAGATTTGTTGAGAGATTTAGCGGCGCAAAAGATAGCTGGAAGGAATATGAAAAAGAATAAATTCAAAGATGCGTTGGCTGCGGTTGATCAGACAAATTCCAATGTTTCAAGTCCGGATTCCTTTCGTCATCATATGCCTGGCGGGTGTAATGGTTTGCATACTACTACTGCTACCAACAGGTGAGCATTTGATAAAAATCATGACTGTTGTGAAGAATTTAAGTTATTTGATAATAATTGGTTAAATTGACCACACATTATAGTACACATGTTGTATGTACATATGTAGTATATTAAAGTACACATGTTGCACGATATCTTTTAAGACCAACAAATAGTTAACAGGTTAAGACCAGTAATTTAATTTCAATAGATAAATTGGCAAAATTAAGAAAGTTAAGTGTCTTGTTCTAATCTGTTTTGTCAAACGTTTTCTTTTTTGGTTAAGGTGAGACAGATTTATTGATAGAGTAAAAATAACGATATAAGAATAAACAATGAAGTTCAACAATATTATTCTTTTTTTAGTATCGAATTTTAGCTTCCGGGGGACATATAAATGTATTGATTTTATTTGTGAACAGGTTCAGCGGTTTAGTTGGTGCTTTAGGCAGTCTCGGGGCGGGGTACAACGGGCTGCCATCTGTGATGTCAGGCCTCGATGACTCCTTAAGTGACGTGGTTCCGCGTAAGAAATATCCTTTCGAACTGGAGAAGGCAATTCATAATGTGATGTTTATTCAACACCACATGCAGAGGCAGGACGAGTTTAATGCGGTAAGTCTCGTAATTACTTCTCTGAATGTCTATTTTTTACTGTCTAGTCAAAAAAAATCAATATTCTTATGTTAAATATCAAAAAAGTTGTGAATCACATATTTTTATGTATTTAATTTACTGTAAATAAATGTAACATAATAATCCTATCAAATCATTCGCTTTTAAAATATTGCAATTAGCAATTATACAACAACAATCAAGATTTTTTTTTTATAATATTCTAAGACATTATTGTTATAAAATTACCTGCATTTAGACACATCAACAATAATACGTTAAAAAAGTACAAATGATAAACCAAGCGCTAATTTGTTTGAATCTTATTAATATTTTATGATTAATTTTCAACCCGCTGGCTGTTCATTAATTACGGTACAGCACAGAGAAGTGGTACTTGCAGTATAATTAACTTCAGCACAAGTTAAATAACTTTAGAACTGCGCTTTGGAACTTTATATTTTTGTACATGAAATATAACAGACTACGTTCTGCTTCAAGTTTATTCGTAAATTTTATAAGTACAAAAGTGCTGTTGTCAATTATTTGTAATCCCTGTCCAAATAATGAATGTAATTTACTTATTTATATTTTTACCGACCGGCAGAAACCAAATTATTCTTAGACATATAACCCAACGTCTATGTACCCAAATTAACCATAGACCGAATTAATTGCTCAAGATTAATAAACGAACATGATTGTTTATTTGTAACGAGCGAAAATCAAAACCGCGAATTTCGATACATACATACATCGATCGCATTATCGATACTTTACTGTAGTGCTTGTAAAGTAGTAATAATGCATTCGAAATGATTTTCTTTGTTCTAAAACCCAAAGTACAAGCTATGGTTATTTTGGGTATATAGGCGTTAGGTTATATGACTAAGAGTAGACGGGTAGCAGAATAAAATCTTAATCAACCTAAAATTTGTTAAAATAGGAGGATCAAGATTGGGGTTTCGTGGCCATGGTACTCGATCGACTCTTTCTCTGGATCTTCACCATCGCTTCCATTGTCGGCACATTTGCCATTCTATGTGAAGCACCGTCTCTCTATGATGACACAAAACCGATAGACATGATGTTGTCTTCTGTGGCACAGCAACAATTTTTACCCGTTGACAGCGGTGACTCTTAAGGCTTAAGAAGACAGCGGTGTTTCTTAAAGGTGTAAATGAATCTCAAATGAAGACGTTGCTGAGTTTTGAAATACCTTCAAGTTGGAATAAAAAATGTTAGAAAGAAGTCAAATTGTTAACGTGGTGTTTATTACTATACTGTGTACAATTATCAATTTAAATGTAAGTAAATTTTCAATTTCATTTCGTACAACGCTAGTACCCACTTACTTTTATTGTCTAGATAATTTATTAATTATATTCTAAAATAGTTTTCCAAGAAATATCATCAAATAACTCTTTTAAATACGTGCGGATATACCTATACCCTGCAAATGTCTGATGTTTCGACTAAGTTGCACAGGCCGTGGTCATGAAATGTTACTTAATTCCTATGTAATATTCATTATGTGAGCGCGTTTATTTTATGTGAAACGTATGTCATGTAGCGTGAAAGTTTAAAAATTTATACAAATATATTAGGTATTTACCTATGAAATTGCCGTTTTGTATGCAATAAGTGAAAGTACTTATTTTTTCAAACTTTTTTATTTCTGTTATTCGAAGTAATCACCCATGCAATCGACGCATCTTTGCCAACGCATTGGCAGTTTATTGATGCCCTTCTTGTAAAAATCAGCTGGACGGAAGGCAACAAACTCTTCAAAGGCATTTTGTACTGCATCTCGGGAATTGAATTTTTTACCCACTAAAAAGTTGTCTAAATTTTGGAAAAAGTAATAGTCGGTAGGTGCAAGGTCTGGTGAGCATGGCGGATGAGGGAGAGCTTCCAACCCCAGCTCTTGCAGCTTGGAGACTGTCTGTTGCGCAGTATGGGGTCGCGCGTTGTCGTGAAGGAGCAGTGGGGATGACCGATTGACCAAAGCTGGTTGCAGAGGTGACCACCAGACCTTGCACCTTTCACTTATTGCATACAAAAAGGCAATTTCATAGGTAAAGACCTATTATATTGTTGTAATTTTTGGTTGACACCATATTTCATATGTAACAAAAACTCAGATCTTTCTCCCTTACATCTATATTTTTGACCGACCTATTGGTCTAGTGGGTAGTCAGAGATTGTGGATTCGATTAACAACCAGGGCAATTTATTTAAAATATGTAAGTATTTAGAATTATGTAAGTATGTTTATCAGCAGTCTGGTTACCATAGCACAGGCTCTGCCTATAACCTGGCAATCTCGTGCGCGACCGTCCCGCGGGGCGACAGACAGTGGCGGGGGCGAGGTAGCGCGTCATTCTAGCACACGGCTACACGCGTTTCCTTTCCCCGCTACACCACCCGCTACCCGCTGACATCTTGAGTACCTCGTCCCCGCCACCGTCTGTCACCCCGCAGGACGGTCACGCACGACGTTGATGGACTATAGTTTGAGACCAGACTGCCGTTTGTGAAATATGGAGAGTTATTATTAACCTTACGAGGTTCTTTTACTGTCACTAAACTTTTCATCGAACCCCTCTTTTTGTTTAAGTATATACTTATGTAAATTAGAGTTTTTTTTTATTAAGAATAATAGCAACGTGAATCACACATTACTAATATTTTTGACAACTGTCCTAGCGCAGCAAAATTGCTTGTATTAAGAGAGGGTGCATTGAATGGGGTTTGAAACTGAAACCAATTGATTGTAAGTCCGACGCCTTAGTCAAACTCAAGTCCTCCGAATATGAAACACCAACATTTAGTAACAATTTATAACTTTTACTCTTAATTAGACATAACTCAGGGATTAAATACATTAAAAAGATGTTATAAAAGCCAAAATGGGCTGTGAATTGTAACGCTGGTATGTAAGTAACTTAAGGTTTCAATTTCAAGTAATAAGTTAGTGTCAAAGTTGGTTGAAGTAGACGAGGATAATAAATTGTTCTTCTTCAAGCTTGATACGGTACACTTATAAATTACTGTCTTATCTTAACGTTCTTTTTAGTGAAAAGTTTAGATAGCATTTCTAAGCGTCTGTTTTAATAGGAAGCTCACTCGTATTTTAAAGAGTTGAAGTATTTCGACATTTAAATATAGCTGTTGTTCCAGCAATAGCTTTTTTGTATTTTTTTTGTTTGTCCTATTTTATATATATGATTCGAATCATTGGACAAACTGCTGAAAACTGCTTTTGAACTGGGAAACTATATGGTAACTGGGAAATGAAACTATAATTTATAGTAAAAGATTTAGTTGTAAGTTCAAAAGACTATCAAAAACGCCTTGCGCAATTAATAAAATTGGGAAAAAAAACAAAATGTCAGGCAGGAAAAAGACCACAATACAAGTAGACTAGAATGTGCCACGCGATAAACAGACGCGGAGGGCCGTTTCATCCTTGAAAGAAAGCCTCGAAACTGTTCGGGCATTCACATGCATACATTGCATACCGTGTATCCATTAGTAAAAAAAGCAGATTCTGCAAAGAAAACTTCAAACCAAACAAAATTTTGACTTTTAAAGACTTGGTATTTTCTTTTCAAAAATATGGCTGTGTTAGTGATAAACTTGTTGTACTTAGAGAATAGGTAATAAAATCTTGTAACTCATTTTTATAGAGTAGGACATTTACTGTACGTATCATTATTACTATCTTCTTTATGTATAATAATAATAAATATCAAGAAGTAAATTGAGGTAAAAAGGTGTTTTATTATTGTTCCTTTATAATTGTTAATTATTCAATTTATGTTATTCAAATTCGATAATAACAGTAGAAGAATACTAATAGTTATATATCTCAATCATTTTTAATTACTCGAGTAAAATCATCATAATTTTTGACATGACCAGAGAACCATGACGGTCGTGACTCACCTTCTTTGCATTCTATAACAGTATTGTTAAACTTTTTTTGATAATATACTTAAACCAAAGCAAGAAAGAAATTTTGCGATAGCAAGTTGAGAATTAATTGGACTGTGTTAAATTGTTTCTACTTATAAGGTATTGCTACTTTGCCGGTACCGATTACTTCACAACGTCTATAATTTTATACCAGCCTCAAATAACTGGGCACTATCTAATCGAAAGGTTTTACCAGAACTTGTTGCCAAAACAAACAATGTAGTGAAATTAGTCTTTAATCTATACATAAGTTAAGTTAATGGACTTTGTAGATGATCTTTGTAAACTTAATCTGTGTTTATTATGTAAACTTTGAACTAATAAATTGCCGAAATATGTTTTCATGTCTATTTATTTTTCCAACTTAACTTCATATACAACTTGATGTAAGAAGGTTACAGATATTCCCGTAATGTAAAACTTAGGCCAAGAAATTAAAAATATAAAACACCGCTAATAGCCCGAACCAAGCCAAAAGTTGACAGTGAATAAATAGAACTCCGAGTTCCTAAAACACAAAATGTCTAGTAATATCCATACATTTACCCTCCTATATCAGCTGACGCACGTCGCACGATACGTTTAATAAACATATAAACATTTGCATTTATTTTTGTACACCAATTAATAGATATTACTGTGATGAGATAAAAATACATTAGACATGCAAAATATGACGATAAAGTATTCAAGGTACAGAAACGTTGTGTGAGGGCAATGTTCTCTCTAAAATCAACCGACAGCTGTCTGCCCTATTATAACAAAATATAATATTTTAACACTACCTTCCATTTATATACTCGAGGTAGCTATGTTTGCCAAACTAAATTTTAATTTATTTGTTTTGTCTTCTGACGCGTATGGCCGAATGCAAAGAGATAAATCCCGGCTATGCCTGTGTAAATCAAACACTGCTCTAATTCATAACTTGTTGCGAGTAAGATGGGAATCCTAAGGGAATCTAGAAATCATTCCTCCATCCATAAGATAACCTACAATCATTATACAACTATATTGTTTATTTAGAAATATACGAGTACTTATGAACCCAGTTGACGGCTATATACTTGTCTCGCATTACGTTAGGACTGAAATTCATCAACAGTCTTTAATATATAGGCCTCTCCTTAGAAAGGAGGCTTTGGCCTACTATACCACGCTGGCCAGACGTGTTGGTATAGGGTTTGTGCCAAGTTTTCCTTCTTTTTTCAGTGCTCTTGTCCTGCGTAGTTTGCTCCCTTAGCCGACTCTTACGACAGCCGCGGGACAAGTAAGGGTGGTGACCGTATTCTTAATTCGTCACCACACGGATCAGGACTAAAGTTACAGTCGGTAAAATGTGAGCATTTAAACACGCCTCTATCTCTGTCTACTTTGAGGATAAAAGACATCAGTACCTAATGAACCATATTATAATGCTCGATGAATTAATATCGATTTACTCGATCATCAAGTGTTGATCTCGTTCATGGAATTCTATATTCAATTATATTCATATGTAATACTTCAGTTCAAACTATCTGGTCTCCTTTTTTCTTTGCAAAAGTCCATTCTCAACAACTCAACAATATATTCCTTGACTTTACAACTATCAAGGACCATCTCTATTTTATATTTGGGCTATATAATACAAACTACCTTTTTTTCAAGTCAGGTAATCTCACTGATTCGGTATAAGGTAAAAAGAAATTTCAATAAGAAGAAGATAAGAAGATAATAGATCTAGGATCGTTTTGCTAATAGCAAGAAGTACCTCTCCTGCCATATCCTTCTACGCCTCATCGACGTGGCGACTGGAATTAATAACAACCAGGGCCTCAATTCTGCTATTTTATGTTTACGACAAGCCAGTGTCATACCACTGACACGCTATTGAGATGCCATCGAGTAGCCATTGGCATCGGTATAAATATCGGTAGTTGAAAATATATTACGTTTTTTGAGGAAGTTATTTATTTGTTTTGCAATGCTCAATAGCGTGTCAGTGGTATGACTGGCTTGGCGTAATAGCAGAATTGAGGCCCAGGCTAGATGTAACCAAGGTTACGTTAGTATGATAAACGTTCATATTCGATATATCTGAATAAAAGAAGAGACAATTTATTTACACATGCCATAAGACTATAAGACTATGACTAATCTCTTAAAAAACCTACGCACTTA